AAAAAATGTAAACATAATCTAACGAATCGGCTATTAAAACAAACCTATAATGACACAGAAAAATTAAATAATGTAATTAAATTATAATAGTTTTACCTACGGTTAAAAAAGAGTATTATATATTCACTATAATTTTTTAATTTCTTGATAAAAAGAGTAAAATATATTAATATTTAAATTATTTTACTATTTAAATTGTAATATAATATATATGTAATAAAACACACAAACGCACAGGCGTCTATGCGCACGCACATTCTCAAACACACGTACACCCGTACACACGCACACACCCACACACGTGCACATGCATACGCAGAACAAAGGGAAAGAAATATACTACTATAAAACTACGAATATATTTACTTATAACTAATATTCCACGTGCCTGCCTGTAACTTATAAATAATTACTACTTTAATATGAGGAGCACCTGGTGTCTCAGATACAAGCTACGGCTTAGTATAGGCTCCAGATTTCCTAGAAGTTACAATATTTTTGTGTAAAAGTAGGTATATACTCTGTACACTTTCTGTGATTTGTGGATATAAAATAAGCTTTATATTATTTACATTTTTATGTAAAGTTGCCTCTCATAGTTTAAAAAAAACATCATAAATTGATAATAAAATAGCAAAATTGTGTTTGAAAAAAGAAAAACAGAATTTTGCTATTTTGTCAAAGAAGAGAAGGTAAACGTTAAGCAAAGTAAATAACTCTTGCTATGTTAGTAACATAGAATTATGATAAGTCATAGATACTTTGTCTAAATCTTTAAGTTAAGGAAATAAATGGGCTGTTATGTTAAACGCACTTGCATCATAAATTCTCCCTTTACCAAGTAACATTAATTCTCATATTCCTTCATCTTACGACTATTTGGTATATGAATGCGTATAGTAAGCCCAACTATCACAATTCTACCTCATTTAACACCACGAGCCACCGCACACAGCCCAAGAGAATTATGTTTCGTGCAATAACTATACGACGGCAGCTTGCAAATGCATTTAATTTACATACAGTACAATGTCACTCGTTTTTTATGTTTTGGTTTCTATCAAAATTGTGTTCCGCAGTAACTATCTGTATTGTTTAATTTATATACATATATTCCTAATTTGACATGACTGATAATATAATTCAAATTAGTATACGAGTAGGTATATTTTAGTATATTGCATTTAAATTTTAAGCTTTTTTATTTTGGTATTTTAAATAAAATTCTTATTGCAATTACAATTGAATATCTCCGTGGTACAGCAGTAGGAATATTGCTTTACATAATGAGGTTCCGGCTTCAATTTTCGGTCGAAGCAATTTTGGAAATGAACTTTTCTAAATCAATTTGTACTTTCCTATAGCGTATAAATCAAACGTAGTTGTACATTAATTTCTTTGCATCTTCCAATATACCGCCAATACGTCCTCATATGCTGGTTATTACAAGAGGCGAACTTAGATAACAAAACAAAACGCACAAGAAAAGGTAAATTTATATAAATAAAAATTGATTATCGAATTTATCTTTGTAAGCGAATCACTTCAAAATGGTTGCATTTATTTGGCTAATACTTTTTTTATTATGTTTTTAATTGTCAGAATAAGGTGTATGTGAAAGAAAATGTTTTAAAAAAGTGTACGGAAATGCGTATAAGTATGATAAAATGACTATTTATATGTTTTATTTTTATTTGTTCCTTTAATACAGACATTATGTATAATCAATACTTTTACCACCAATAAACACTAATAAAAGACAATAAAAATAACCTCAATATATTTTTATTGTCTTTTCGTTAGTTATAATAATATTATTTGTTATTACATCAAATTATTCTTCAATTACGGTGAGAGCAACAATGAGCTCGATCTTAACTATTATTAGAGAAAATCAGCACCACAATTCTAAGAAATTGTAATACGTAGGTTTAATACGACCTAATATTCTTGTTAAAACTTTTTTATTTCGTAATTGGTATAACAGCGAAATATATAATACTAATTAGACGGTACTTATCTTTAATATACAATATTAAAAGTGGCTATATAGGTACCTAAATTAGTATTAAAACTTCAATTAACATTCAATATCCGATATCTAAATATATGTATATTTATAAAGTCATGTATATACATAAATTTAAATAATTTATTTTATATAATATTAAGACCATAAATAAATAAGCCCCGCGCTATCATATTAATCGCGTGGCGCTCAAGATCGAATATCTTGTGTTATAAGAATCCAGGTTATGAATACCATAATTCTGGGATGACCGCTGTGGCGGTAAAGAAAGCGAAACTTCAAAAATTAATTCCAATACTGAATAATAAATAAAATTAAGAATGATCGAATGAAGATTTCATTCTTGATGTAACCACTTTAAGAGTAATCTTATAACTAAAAGAATTACAAGATTCTGTTCCTTAACTACAAGAACTATATCTACATTTTGTAGATTCTAACAAATAGACACCGGGTTCAACTTCACACGGATAGATAGAAGTTTAGAAAATAATATATAGCCTATTTTACTTACTATTAATGTAGGTTTATATAGCTGCAATAATTTTTAAAATCGGTTGAGTAGTTTTTGATTTTATCCATTACAAACAAATAAAATCTTTTCTCTTTATAATATTAGTATATGTATTCCAACAATACCTATGTCCTTCAAACAGATTTAACAGAGCCAACAACTTATATTCCAATGTGATACAAAATAAAAAACAATTTACTCCATAATGGTTCTGTTTTCCTGAAAGTGTCAACTCCAACATTACTTAGTCGGTCGTTGAATATGTTATTTGAATTATATTGATGTCCACTGTAATTGTTTTATTTTGTTTTAGAATCTTCAAACTTTTATATTTATTGAATATACTTCAAGGAATAGGAGACAAGATACATTCGATAGAAATGTAATAGTAAAATATAAAAATTACATAATATGAAAACCAAATAATACTACAATACTATAATATATACAAATATTTATATTAGAATTCAACATTTCTATTTCTAAAGTGTTTTGCTAATGTGATAAATGTGTATGTGATTATTTAAAATATCTTTCGTTGATATTGCTACCGTGTACCTAATATTTATGTAGTGTTTTATTTTTTAACACTTTTTAGTTATAATTTCTGTTAGTTACAATGTTACTTAAAGAACTTGTTAAAATTTCCAACTTGAAGCTGTTTTTTCATAGTATTTGTGATTATGTCGACCAGTAGGAACTAGGTATTATTAACTAGGCATATATTACTATCTGATAATACAAATTAAATATTAAGGTACTTTTATATGAGTATATTCATTATGTTGGCATAATAGCAGTTTATTGTAACAAGTAATAAAAGCACTTTCTCATACGCTCTTAAGATTTATTACAACAATAAAAATAATGACTATCTTCTTGAATATTTTCGTTTTTCCTCTTCTTTTCCTTGTTGCCATAATATAGTGTGCCCATTATCTGTTACACAAGATACGTTTATTACTTTCAACTTAATAAATGGACAAAATCTTCCAGGAATACTGCCTTTTTACGAAGTAAAAGCAAGTAACCATCTTTCCACTTAAAAATTAAATAAAAGGAAATTACGATTTAATGAAATTGCTAAAGATTTTAATAAAACATGATGTACGTTTGCCTAAAATATTGCTTATAGCAAATATTGTCAAAAATCCCAAGCATAAAAGACTCATATCTGCATCCGAGAACGTAAATAATTACCTCAATTTCACAAAAAAATATGACTTACCCTTATCAACCAGAGAGTGATATTACACAAAGTTCTCCGCATGACTACTTTTATTTCACTCGCGTTTGTGCCTTCAAGCAGGTGTGCTTTCTTGGGTGTATGGTTTCTTGAGTTTGCACGGTATATGAAAATAACTGAGAATTGAGGTATATATAACACCTTAGTTTTAAAGGACCGCAACGCATGAAGTGTACAGCGAGAAACATAGATATATTCTATAATATCTATGGTGTTGTTCAAGTTAACTAATGCAGGTCACCCTTTTCCATCAGATGGTGCATGTTATCCTTAGTTTGTGTAGGTACAAGTAGGTACGTATCTAAGTATTATAAATTACCTTGTTACGCAAACCTCAGTACCTACCTATAATACTTATCTACAGTTGTATCACTTCGTGCATTTACTTATAACAAGGATGAAAATGTGGTGAGGTTAGGCTCTGTAATCCAACCTTCCAACCTTTGCGAACCAATGAACGGGAAATCCTTTAAATTCTATAGATACCTGTTTACTTTAAAAACATCTATTATGCGACCTTCAATAATTTTCAATTGGTTCGGTATTATCAATAAAGGAAGTCTTGTGTTACTAAATTGGTACACCTGTTAATATATCGAATCAAGGAAACCGAAAATTAAATAACAAAGAATTTATAAATAATGTTGTACCTATAAACTGCATCGATTTTTACAAATACATGTGTTAACGAAACACCAACATCTTGCGTTCAATAACAAAAATGCAGTTTAATGATGACGGAAGATACTTTTTTCAGTATAAAATAATTTCTTTTTTATAGGAAGCCAATGTAAGTAAATATCTAGACACTTACATGCTCCTTTTGCTCAATTAGTATTAAATTTCTCTCGGGAATCACTTTTACTTCTGTTTTATTAATTATAATTGTGGCTCATGACTTCGTTCTCATGAAGTTCAGTTATACAGCACATTCCCATTTTATATCTTTCACCATCTTTACCTTTTTAGGAGAACGTTATCATCAAAAATGATAAAATACATTATTTCTAATCAAAAAACTAAATTCAAAACTTCACCTTCTGTAGTGTAGGTACTTTTGTAATAAAAGTTCGGAAGGTAGTATTAAAAACCTGGAGTATCAACTGAGGTTGTTTAATTGAGTGCTCCCGTATTTCCTGGACATTACAGTGGCGACGAGGCTTTCAGTTGATAATTGATCGACTTTTGAACTCACAGTAACATAGTATAAAATGTCAGTTTACGGGAGCGTGCCATTATTTGACTGTAAAAGTGATGAGTGGGGAGTTCATAGTGCACAGTTGAAAAATTTCTTTGTGGCTAATGGTATTAACGATACAAGCGACGTGAATGGTGTTAAACGACGTGCTATATTACTTAATTGCATGTCACAGGACTCATATCGGTTAACTCGTGATTTGTTATTTCCAATTGTGCCCGAGTCGGCCACCTACAGTGTGATTGTAGATACTTTGGATGCTCATTTTCAACCCAAAAAATGCATATATGCGGAACGGCAGAAATTCTATTCGGCTAAGAAAGACCCCCACGAGTCCCTACCAGAATATGCTGCGCGTATTCGTGGCTTGGCATCTACATGTCAGTTTGGTACTTCGCTAGAAATGTGTATGACGGATCGTTTCGTCCTCGGCGTTGACTCCCCAGTTGTACGAGAGAAGTTATTTCGGGAAGATCCTGGACAACTCAAATTAACACGAGCAGTCGAGGTAGCAGGAGCAGTAGAAAGCGCGCAACGGGTTGCGTGTTCAGATCTGGCAGCGCTCAATATTAAATCTGAATCGGTGCTGTACGCGGCTGAGCGGACAGAGCGGCGCCATGCGACCGCTGGCAGGAGCCGCGACGTCGGCAGCGGCGGCAGCGGCGGCAGCGGCGGCAGCGGCGGCAACGGCAGCGGCGGCGGCGGCGGCGGCGGGTGCGCAAATGGCGTGACACCCCGCTGCACAGTATGCGGCGCTAAATCGCATTCGTCTTCTCAGTGCGGTTATCGTAATTTATCTTGTGATAATTGTGGTGTTAAAGGTCATTTAAAACGTATGTGTGCCTCGAAAAGTGTTCGTATGGTTGACCGTAATAACATTAAGTCACGTAGAAATAGGAATAGCGAAAGGCGAAGTAATTTTATCAGTGAATGTGATAACGAGAGCGAAAACAGCGATTATGCGCTGTTAAATAATATTAGATGTTCTGAGGGTGCGCCGATGACTGTGGCGGTGACCGCGGACGGGAAACCGTTTAGCATGGAAATAGACTCGGGCAGCGCGGTGTCGGCAATGCCGTCGGCGGTGTGGCGCAGGTATTTTTCTAAAACCCATCCACTCGGTGAGTCTGATAAAATCTTACGTACTTATAACGGTTCGTTGTTGTCACCTATTGGAGTATGTGATTTATTGATTACGTATAATAATAACTCTCAGTACATTCGTTTTTATGTGGTAAATAATGGCCCAGTTTCGCTTCTTGGCAGGGATTTTTTGTATAAATTTAATTTAGCACTAGTGACTGTAAATCACTGCTCAGCAAATAAGTACAGCTCAATTTTAAAAAAATATAGTTCTCTGTTTTCTGACAACCTTGGTACTTTTAATCGCTATAAGTTGACATTACATTTGAAGGAGGGCGCTGTCCCAAAATTTTGTAAAGCTAGAACAGTGCCCTTTGCACTCAAGGACAAAGTGAGTGCGGAGTTAGATAGACTGGTACGGATAGGTATTTTAAAACCGGTTTCTTATTCGAAGTACGCGTCACCGATTGTTGCCGTTTTAAAAAAGAACAACGAAGTACGTATCTGTGGCGATTATTCAGGTACAATTAATAAAATATTAAAAGTGGATTCGTATCCACTACCCAAATTGAATGAGTTATGTGCTTCCTTGCACGGTTGTCGCTATTTTAGCAAGCTCGATTTGTCACAAAGCTATAATCAATTTTTACTAGACGACCAGTCTCAAGAATACACATGTATAAATACACATAAGGGGTTATTTGTTTACACTCGGCTAGTGTTTGGCTTAGCAAACGCACCAGCGCTATTCCAGCGTGCAATGGTTCAATTGTTGAACGGCATAGATGGAGTCGTATGTTTCCTCGACGATGTGCTTATTGCCGCATCTACTCCCGAATTACACTGGGAACGCGTAGAACAAGTTTTGATTCGACTAAGAGATGCTGGACTTATATTGCAAAAATCTAAATGCTATTTTCTTCAGGAAAAAGTGGAATATCTGGGGTTTATCATAGATCGGGAGGGAATTCACAAAAATCCAGATAAAATTAGATTATTGATGTCAAGGTTCCTATGAATACGAAACAATTAAAATCGTTTTTAGGAATTGTAAATTTTTATCACAGTTTCATACCGCAAGCGGCGGCGTTACTAGAACCACTACATACTTTGTTGCGAAAGGATATCGAGTGGGAGTGGACAGACGAGCACCAAAAAGCGTTTAATGCTGTTAAAAGGGAATTGAGTTCATCACGAGTGTTAGCTCACTATGACCCCCGACAGCAGCTCGTGCTTACCGTAGACGCGGCGCCAAGTGGGCTGGGCGCGGTTCTAGCAGCGCGCTACCACGACGGTGCCGAACGTCCCATCTGCTATGCGTCACGAGCATTAAACAAAAGCGAACGTGCATATAGCCAGATTCAAAAGGAGGCGACGGCCATCATTTATGGTATCAAAAAATTCCACCAGTATCTTTATGGCCGTCAGCAACCATTCATTTTACCAGAGGGAGACTTTGTACAAAAGTCGATTGCTTGGGTACCTCTGTCCCATTCGTGTTTCAACCGTGAAGCAGTTGTGTTTGCATGGCTGTGTTTCGGTTTGAAGAGTGGGATATGGCGTGAATTTACTGGGTACAGAGGAATAACACCTGAGTCCTCAGGAATGGCAGCGCATGGGGGGTATCATGGGCGAAACAGTATAATCTGTTATGTCCATGGTACTGCTCATGTCTATAGGCGACGGTTACCACTTTCCATCAGGTGGGCCGTCAGCTTGTTTGCCTTCTAAGTTGTATAAAAAAAAAAAAAAAAAAATTTTGAGAACCGATCACAAACCCTTGTTGTCAATTTTTTCGCCAGAAAAAGGAGTACCTCAAATGACTGAATCTAGGCTTCAACGATATGCATTATTTCTCGCTGCTTATAATTACAAAATTGAATTCGTTAGCAGTGGAAATAATGTTGCTGATTATTTAAGTCGGTTTCCTGTGGAAATGGAACCGCAAGAAGTAATTAATGACACCGAAATGCCTAGTTATATTAACGCACTAGCGGCGGCCGGTGCGACATTGCCCGCCTCATTGGAGGAGATGCGGTCGTCTACTGCTGCCGACATTACACTTTCTGATGTAATACAATATATAAATAAAGGGTGGCCACGGAAAGTACGAGTAGAATTGCTGCCATACAGTCGGTGTCAGCACGAGCTTCATGTTGACAATGGATGTTTAATGCGCGGACATCGCGTGGTCGTACCCGAGGTATACAGGTCGGCTGTGATACAAGAACTCCATGCTGCGCATTTAGGCATAATGAAAATGAAGTCGTTGGCTCGAGAGCGTTGTTGGTACCCGGGTATTGACCGTGATATTGAACAAACAGTGTCCAACTGTGACCGTTGCATTTCCGTTCGGTCAGCTCCCCCGAAAGCTCACATGGAATCATGGAATTGGCCTGTATCTGTTTTTGATAGAATTCATTTGGACTATCTTGGGCCCTTAAGTAGTAAAATATTTCTTGTTTTAGTCGATGCTCATAGTAAATGGATTGAATGCTTGGATATGCCAAATATGACGTCTCAAAGTTTAATTTTAAATTTAAAAAAAGTATTTTCGAGATTCGGTTTGCCTAAAACAATTGTGACAGACAACGCAACAACTTTTACATCTTCTGAGTTCGGAAAATTTTGTGACGTCAACGGTATCACTCACATATTGTCTCCCGTTTATTCGCCGCAAAGTAATGGACTCGCCGAAAACGCGGTTAAAACATGCAAACGATTTATTAAAAACGCGCTTAAAGATTGTTCCATAAAAAATATAGGTAGCCGATTAGATGATTATTTATTTTATTACCGAAATACGCCACACTGCACGACTGGTGTATCGCCGTCAGTACTCATGTTCGGTAGGAATCTACGATGTAAACTCGACCTCATATCTGTCCGACCGTCGGCCACAGGTCCTAACCCAATGTTGATTAATAACCGTGTACGGCTGAACCAGGAACGCCAACGACGTTGTTTCGGTGGCAAAGGACGATACTTTTCGCGATATGATAAGGTTTGGATTAGAGACTATCGATTTAATCCAAAAAGACCGGTGTGGGTGTTAGGATCGGTCGTCAGTCGTGTCGGTAAGGTTGTTTACGATGTTGCTGTAAAGGACACTGATATCGTTTGGAGGCGTCACATTAACCAGTTACTGGATGCGAAGACTTATAATGGTAACGTGAATAGTTCCGCTTGGTCATATGATAAGTACGACAACGGGACAACCTGTTCTTTGACCCACGATCTAACTACGGAGCCGTTTCAGTCAGACTCGCCAACTACGGCTCCAGGGTTAGGAGTGGAAGGCGAGGTGCGGCCGTCTACACCGGCCGGCTCGCCGGAGCCGCGGGCGCCCAACGATGCCGATTACGACTCGTACGGCACGCCTCCCAACGAGGCGCCCGAGCGGTCACCACCGCGCGCCGCCTCTGTTCCTGGAGTCCGCCGCACACGATCGGGACGCCCAGTTCATCCACCCAAAAGATTATTTTTTTAGTATATAATTAGGTTTATAGCATAGTGTATATCTTATAGTATTAGTAGTTATTATTTCTTATTAAGTTATGGTTCCCGTCTGCATTTCCCGGATTAATAATTAAGATTTTTTTTTTATTTTTGTGGTTTTCTTTTATATATCTATATTGTAGTAATGTCTCGATATTAATTGTGGAGGAAAAATATAGAGCTGTAACTATCAATAAAATTAACTAAGACATTTTCTCATTCACTGTGCTGTAAATGTGAATAATGACCTAAGTTATTATATATAAGTTTTCATAGTTAATAAGTAGTCCTATGTGCTTACTTTCCCCTCAGTTGTTAATTTAATTGTGGAGGAGATGTAGTGTAGGTACTTTTGTAATAAAAGTTCGGAAGGTAGTATTAAAAACCTGGAGTATCAACTGAGGTTGTTTAATTGAGTGCTCCCGTATTTCCTGGACATTACACCTTCCTAACTTTCAATTAACAAATTTACTCGCAAATTTTCATCTAAATCAAATCATTCTCTATCTCACTCTCTTAGAGGTAGAATTTCCAAAATTTGCTGGAAAATAACACCTAAAAACAAACTTTCATACTTCAAAAATAACGGAATTTCTATACTCCATTTTTCATACCCCATTATCCAAAAAAATAATTTTTTTATTAATTTAAATTTTATTAATTTATTAATTTTAATTTCCTTATTTATTCCAACAATAAGGTTACGACGCTCAATAACAAGGGTAAGAGTCCCATTTAGATCAAACAGTAACCATAATTAGGCCGACCTTAGTAACCTACTAAGTAAGATACAAAATACAGTATGTTGCTTTGAAATTTCAGTATTAAAGAATGAAGGGACAAGGACCACTTGAAAATGGCGTAAAACGTCCTGCCCTGTGCTTCATCCCGAAAGTTTGTGCCGCCAACCGATAAAAGGCAACGTTCTGGAAAATATAAATTTCGTTTGACTCGTGACCGTTTAAAAGTAGTAAACGTTTTTAAAGTGCAAAGTGAAAGCATATTTCATATTTTTAACTTCACTCGCAAGCAACACGTTTATATATTTCGTATCACATTTCTCTTATTTCATAATTGAATTTCAAAGGAACGAAATTTTGACCATAATAATTCTGTAGATTTTTTATTCAAAGTAGCGAATTGGCCTGTATGTCCTGTATGGATAACTGTTTCAATATTTAATAGTAGATAGGTAATTAGGTAGTAGAGTGAATCTAAGTCTTCTACTAAATTTTCCACATTTTGTAATAATTATACCTATGCAGTAGAAGGCTGGAAGAACTGTTTTTTTTTTTAGAGATAACGATGAAATGGTAACACCACCTGTGTTACTGAAATACATACATTAACAGGATATAAAGATGAGTATGGTATCAGGTCCGTTAATTCATCATGACGAATTCAAATTTAATCTAATACCAGAGGGATATAATTTATGTCATTCATTGTGGTCAATGTGTAAAACGTATTTTTTCATAGCATAAGAATGGAAATAAATTATCTACGTTCTTCAAATTCCTTTATTTCTAATACTTTTGCTTATACAGGGATTTTTTTTACTGTTAGGCAAACGAGCAGATAGTCCCCCTGATGGAAAGCGGCTATCGTCGCCCATGGACATCTACAGCACGAGAGGAGCTGTTCGTGCGTTGGCGGCCTTTTAAATTTTTGTGCGCACGTTTTTTAAAATACCCCATATTACACTAGTTATTCAAATCCCTTTCTTTTAGATTGTTTGTCGCTTCTTCGAGCTATTTGCCTCTACAACTTTTAGAATCCTTAAAATTATATGAGTTCTTTTGCAGATTAAAAAAGATTCTATTCGGTACTCAATAAAACACATTATATAGACCTACTCCATTAAATACAATATTGTATACGACAAAAATGCTTTCAACTACACAATTTACAACTTTGAATATATGAATATAGCCAAAGTTACTGTAAGAACTTTTTATTAAAATTTAAGAGTTTTTTATTAAAAATTTCCTAAGTACATATTGTATTTAAATGTAATACCAATCGAGCTTCATCGACCAAGTTACACGTAAGTTAAATCAGTAATTATTAAATTAAAATAAATTAATAATGAAATTGTATTAAAAAAAATCCTACTTCAATTTTGACAAAATTAAGTATAGCGCCTAGACCAATAATTACCAAAACGTTTTAGGAAAATAACAAAACCACGTATCAAAGTTATAAAAACAATATCAATTAAACAAAATGCTCTATAATAAAGTGGACTGAAAATAAAAAGACGAATAATAGAAGAATAGTTACATCGACACATATGTAAATTTTCTTATTTTCAAGCATAAAAATATTGCATTTACCTGAAACCAATCACTATAAAATCCGTGTGCAAGTCAATCAGGGCGTACTAAATCCTCATTACGATATTCAGCGTCAAGGCCATCAGTCAAGACCATCATTTATCTCCCAAAGCTGCTGACATCTCGTCGGTGACAGTTCGCTAACTTATCTACTCAGGCCCAAGTGGTTTTTTAACTTCAAAGACACGGTTGCTATTTTAGGTCCCTTCAATGACTTGTTTATTTTCCAATAGATTTTTTATATAAAACGCTTGCCACAAACATAATAGAGATAGATAAGTTTTATTTATTTATCAACAGGAAAAGATTTTATATTAAATACATATTCTTATCAATTATTCAAAATACTGGTAAATACTGGTAAGTATTAGTATCCCCAAATGAAACTAATGGATGAAATATATTATTATTGCAAAAAAAAAGAAATTACTATCAATCAATCATTATAAATAGTTCGTTCCGTATCGACTCTATTATAATTTATTAGACTTAGCAGTATAGATTCATACTGTGGAATTCGTCTCTCTTTCAAATAACTGTAATAAATCTTCAAACTAATATACTTATAAAAATAAAAAGCTTATTAGCGACAATAATAGACAGTTTACTTTATTAATACGATAATTTATCCCTTATATTAGATAGTTATTGTAATTAGTCATAACAAAACAGGTAGTGAAAATTAAATTTTCCCAGTTATTATTGTCAATTTTGGCTGAATATGATCACATTAAACTTTATTATTAACCTAAAACGAATATGAGCAAATACGTAAACAGATGGACTATTTCAGGACAGTTCCATAACATATTAGCAAGTTTACTAAACGCTTGCGGACCATTAGGAACAAAAGTGAACAATGCCCGAGGGTGTCACATATTATTAGATACTAAACTTGAATATCCCGCATATCCCCGTCCTGTTAGTGGCCAGTTTTGGAGCAAATAATGACAGTAATTTACTCAACTTGCTATAAATATATATTAATGATAATTACATGCTTATAATAGTGTTTATTTACATTACTGTTTTGATGTTTACCGATATTACAGATTTGTCATAATATTATGACATCATCTTGGCCATGAAAATTAATCTATAATTTTTAATTAAGCACTTACATCAAGTTTTTGTTATAGGTGAAAATGGCATGGTTACCCTGCCAGCGTTTAGTATACACGGTAAAAATATGATATTAAACAGGTCAATTGGCCCATTGTGACGAATCTAACAAGATTTAATCACAATGATTTCTAGAGAGAACCGCGTATATTACTAGCAACGAGGCCATTAGACTCCATTACTAATAATCCCTTTCCTCCACTTACAGTAGGTTAATTAAAGAGATAATTCGTTGGTATATTTTCACATAAAAAATATGTTAAAGCATCGCATAACATACATTTACTCTTAAAATTCGTAGTCCTTTTTTCAGTTTTTGAAATAAATACGTTTATATATTACATATAAAAGTATTTCTCTCAAAAACTGATTAATATAATATAATAACAAACATATAAACACACAGCATATAAAGTCAAATAAAAGCTGAAGATACTAAACTTTCAACTTACATTGTCCCATGTTATTGCAATACAATAATGTTTAGGTATACCATAAAGTGAAAAGACTTTATGCACTTAGAATCTTTTGCAGTTATATATTTATTTTTAAGTACAGTGAATTTCTGGAACGTGAAAATGATATTTAAGATTTATAAAATTCAGTAAAACCGATGCACTAAGTTTGAAATCAGTAGCTATGTAGTTAAGTGTTAATTATTCAAAACTAAAACTTTTAACATAACTTGCATTATTTATTATTATTATATTATCAGTTAACAACTGTCCATTGTCGAACATAGGCCTCCTCCATAAGGAGGCTTTTGCCAGTAGTTGCCAGACTTAGCAGGCGTACTGCCCGTCTCTCGTACATTAAGTTTCCTTAGTCGTCTCTTACGATACCCTTGAGAAAGGAAAGGGTGGCCTATTCTATTTTGGAACCACACAACAATCATTATAAGTATCTTAAATTAGGAAAAAATATATAAACATAGTTATATTTACATTTATTAACGAAGTTATATATTAGACAAATAAATCATCCAGTAATTTAATAATTTTAGTAAGTGCGTATTTATAAATAAGGTTGAATACTGTTAATATAATTGGCTAATTAATTAAATATTATACGTTATAGTTTTTCTATAATTAACGAATTATATTTCAATGACTGAAGTTAATTTTAAAAGACTAGACGTCGTCTATACTTGACCAAATAATCCACTCTATTTTCTGGAATACCTTTTATTTCTGTCTTCGTCTACTACACTACGAAATTAGAACAGAACTAAGGGTTACTGCAACACTTACTAGAAATTGCCATAAAAACCACTTTTCCTTGGTAATAAAAAGATAGGGACTTTGTGTCTACACACTAGTAGCAATGTTAGAAGTAATTGTTTCACAAATAAGAATACGCATCGTAAACGTCCGTACTATATGACGTAGTTTTTTTTTTCGTAATTTTAGATAAATAGTTCTGTAGGTATTGGGAAATTTTTGAGAAATGAAATTATTGGAAAATTTTTACAAAAAAATAAAATAGGCGTAGAGAAATTAATTTCTATTCGAGAGTTATATATATCATCATATCA